TTAAAGGGTCTTCAGGAATGACGTTCCATTTGGCCTTTCTGAATCAAAGAGGGGCATCGCCAGGGCCAACCAGTAGGTGGCTAAGTTGATATAAGTTAGGGAATCTGGAGCGTATACTCCCAGAACAATCCTAAATCGTTCAATAAATCTTTCCCTTTTCTTTCAGGAGTCAGGAAGGTCCTTGATGATGGCATGTAATTCTCACCGAAACCAAGGTTTAAATGTTGTCTTCTGTTGGCCTCACTTGAGGCTGGGTACCAGCCACACCCTGGGCTTCATCTAACAGAGATGGGGATCTGGTGAACCTTACAGTGACGCGAGTTGAGGGGCTGGGTGCTGTTGGTGAAGGGCATTCTGGGAGAGAAGGAGAGATACAAAGGAGAGCTGGGAGGGGAATATGGGGGTGCTGTGAAGTTCTAGAGGATTTACAGGCTCAGAAAAAATTTTCTGAAGACATTAAGAACTGTAATAGTTTCAATGAGGTTTGAATCATTTAGATACTTTCCAGCTTCTTCATACCAAGTGAAAAAAGCAGACCATGTGCATCAGAGAATTTTGTTCCTTTTTACCCTAGGGCTCCCCTTTGGTGGACTAATTTGGGGATATCCCAAAAGCCCCAGAGGGGCCACTGTAGCTTAAGAGAGTTTTTAGTAAGGTTTTGCCTTACTAAAGGAAGGAAAGTGGGCAGCGTGAGGGCCATAGAAGCATATGGGCAGCAGGAGTTGGAGAAGGAGAGGTTTCAGTCGATTGAGAAGCTCCCATGTTCTTGAACAATGTACCTTTACACTTATGAACAGAGAAATGTGGGATTCTAACCCAGCCTCTGCTCCTTATGGAGACTCGCCTCTCACAATCAGAAAAGCCTAGGGCCGGCCCCGTGGCTTGGCGGTTAGGTGCACGCACTCCGCTGCTGGCGGCCCGGGTTCGGATCCCGGGTATGCACCGACGCACCGCTTCTCTGGCCATGCTGAGGCCGCGTCCCACATACAGCAACTAGAAGATGTGCAGCTATGACATACAACTATCTACTGGGGCTTTGGGGGAAAAAAATAAATAAATAAAATTAAAAAAAAAAAGAAAAGCCTAGGACTCTATCCCAGCCTCTGTTTTCCTGGGACTCTAACCCAGCTGTTATAGAGAAACCCACGACTCTAACCTGGCCTCAGCTTGTCAGGGACTCTAGCCCAGCTTCTAGAGTATACTCAGAATCCTAAGAATCAAAACCTGTCCTCGAGCCAGCCCTGATGGCCTAGTGGTTAAAGTTTGGCACTCTCACTGCTTTGGTGGCCCTGGTTCAGTTCCTGGTCACGGAACTACACCACTTGTCTGTCAGTTGCTATGCTGTGGCAGCAGCTCACATAGAAGAACTGGAAGGACTTACGACTAGAATATACAACTATGCACTAGGGCTTTGGGGAGGGGGAAAAAAATTGGATTGTTTGTTTAAAAGAAAAAAAAATACCTGTCTTCACTGTGCATCAACGGACATTTATTGCAGCATTGGATTTCAGAGTCGGGCTCACCACTGGGTACCCAAACCAGCAAGCAGACTGGAGACAAAAGGTCTAGGTGTGCACCGTGAGGCCTGGTGGTCGAGTCCGAGGGTCTGATGGTGGTTCCGATACACATCCAAGTCACAACACCAAAAACTGCTGGAGAGAACCAGAGCCAGAAAGAAGTTAAAGCGGTGAAGGTAGATTTTATTAAAAAAACTCTTGCAATAGGGGAAGAGAGATTCCAGTATAGAACTGGGCTCAATTCCAAATACAACCAGAACAAGTGGGGATTTAGAGCCAAGGAGCAGGTTGGGGGTGGGGAGGCGTTGGTGGATGGAAAATTACTAAGAGGAGACATCAAGTCTGGGGGATTCTGGCTGAAGGCAGGTGGGGTGATGGGAGATCATCTGGGGGCAGGGGGGAGGCGGAGTGTGATCAGATATCAGAGTAAGAAATTCTCAGTAACCTTATTTAGTAGGATTCTTGCTAAAACTGGATTCTAGAAGGAAGTACGGGGAGGGGCCTTGTTGGGGAGAGGGTTCAAGGGAGCCTGACTCAAGTTTGGTGAAGCAAAGAATCTTCGTCAACGCCGATGGTGGGTGGACGTGACCTGGTGTTTGGCAGAGCTTCCTCAGGGAAAGGAAGTCGGGGTTTGGAGAAAAGCTTGGGGCAATTTCATCCATTTCCACCAAAAATTTCTGTGCGGGGTCCCTCCTTTGGGAAATGGATTTCTAAAATTTTGCTTTGAAATTTCCATGTGGGAAATGGACAGTGGTCATCAGAAATGGACAACAGGGGTGTGCCAGTTGAACTGAAAGCATTGTAATCTTTCACAATATTTATTCCCAATCAGCCAATTTAAAAAAAAGTTTATGGGGCTACCTAGTAAAGAGAGGAGCCCAGGACCCATGAGCAATGCTGTTAGAGGCTCATGGTCAGACAAGGTTGGCCATTGTCTTCTCTTTTGGAGGTTCCCCTCTTTGGGGAAATCCTACCTTAAGGAGAGGGCATCTCTGTGACCAGAACTTGAAGCTCCCAATGATTGGTGCTGGCCCCTACAGGGACCTCAGGGCTCCACGGTGGGTTTGTATATCCATCCATCCCAGGGATCTTTGGTTCTGCTGGGTCTGGTCAGAACCCAAGGCTGGTGGGGACCAGTGGGACTGAGATGTGTGAACACCAGCCCTTCAGTCAACCAGCTTGAAATGCCCTTCAGTCAACCAGCTTGAAACATGATCCACATTTTGCTAGTATCATTTCATCCAGACCCCAACCTTCCCCCACCCGTTTTTTAATTGGAGCCTTTTGAATTAAAGCCCAGACACGTCATTTCACAGTTTCATTCCGAGACCCTGATATGGTGTGAGGGTTTGTACAAACAGCTCTGGATTAGAAGCCAGGCTGTGGGGTTCCTGCCCCAGCACTCATTTACTGGGCAATCTTGAGCAAGTCATTTCTCCTCTCTGGGTTTGTCTCCTCATTTGTAAAAGGGACGTTCTGGCTCAGGTAGTGGCGAAGTCCCTTGTTTAGTAAAGGAAAGGCACTGGCACCAGGCCCAGGGCCCCCACCACCATCCCGGGGCCGCCCTCCTCGGTTCCCTCAGGCTCCTGGTACCAAGACAAGGAATAAACAAACAAGCCACGGTAATTTCCCTCTTCCCTGGAAACAAAGCTGGGGTGGTCTGGGGAGGCGTGTGGAGAGATCCGAGGGTGCCAGGTGGAAGTGGGCCAAGAGGGCCGAGAGATGATCATTTCCCTGGCCTGCAGGGAACATCTGAGGACACCGAGGCCAGATGTGTTGATTTTGCACTCTCCCTGGTGTGATAAAATCCCCATCAAGAGCATTTCTTTATCCCGCGCCAGCCTGCCTAGGGGTGGACCCCAGCCTGCGCTGGTCTTGTCTTCTGTCTCCGGAGCACATCTCCTCTTATGGAAGAGCCCCAGCTGCTTTTGCACTGTCAGCGGAGCGCTGGCTCATGAACGCGCTCCTCTCCAGCGGCACACTCAATGTCTGGGTGCCCGCCAAGCCCCTGCCGCCTGCCTCCACGGCCCAGCCTGCCGACCCCTCCCCCCTCAGTGATCGCCCACTTCCTTCCTCCATCACCACCTTCCATTCTCCAGTGAAGAGCCTGTTATCGATCTTGGCCCATTCCTCAAAGTTGCTGCACCCTAATTCCATCCGTGCCACCTCTCCCCCAGGGGACCGCCCGGCAGTCCTCCTGGGTTTGTTAATGGTGGTGCTCCATGACACGTGGCCCCCACCCACGAAGAGCGAGTCTGCCCAAGATGGGGGCTTGGTGTCTCTGATAAGGACAATCAGGTGGTCTGTGCCCACAGAACCTGCCTTGTTGGAGGCTGGCTTCCATCCTGAAATTGGAACCTGCCGGAAACTGGGTGGCCTCGCTTGCACTTCCCAGTCCCTGCCATTGTGAGCATCCAGAAGGCTGCATGAGTCTGATTCACCAAGTGCCCCAGTTGAAGGCCTGGCACAGAGCAGCTGTCAGTAAGTGCTGGCTGCACAGTGGACTTGCTGTGGTCCTTGCATGCCAGGAAGGATGCCTGGCTTCTCTCTCTCTAGCATGACCTCAAAAGCCAGAAGAACCGACTGACCAGTCGGAGTTGAATCAGCAGATCAATGCAGTGGGGCTGGGGAACAAGGCACAGACTGTGATCTCCTGGGTCTGTCAGCGCAGCGACTGGGAGCCTGTCTCGGGGAGCGCAGGGGCGCAGGAGGCAGAATGGGAGCCAGAGCCACAGGCTGGGGTGGAGCAGGCGCCGGTGGCAGGGCTGCACTAAGGTGGGACTGAGGTTAGGGCAGATGCAGGGCCTCACCGCTGATCGCTCACGTGACCCCAGGCAGGTCATTGAACCTGTTCCTCTGTAAAAGTGGAATCATCATTCCTACTCAGTTTACTTTTTGGGGGGTTATTGGGAGAAACAGATGAGAGGGTCCTGACAGGCCTGTGAAAGGGTTAGAGCTGTCAGGTCTAAATGTCTGTGCCTACACTGATGAGGAATGGGGGCAGTGACCCCCTGCCACGGGCCCTGCCCTGGGCCAGATGTGGTAGGTAGACTTCTCTGGTGTGCAGGCCTGGCAGGCTGGGGATTCCACCCTCATTTCACTCAGGCATCATTAACACCTCTCATGGCCACCTTACAAGTCATAACAGAGACTCCCAAGTGTCCCCCCGGATTGTGAAGCCTGCTGGAGAAGACAGGGGCAGAGGAAACTCATCTTTTCACCTAGTTGAATAGAAGCAGTCCAAGACAAAATCCACCATTTTTATTTGCTGAACATAATTTAAAACTATTTAACACAAAAATATCTCTCCATCCATCATCAGAAATCCAGACGGCAATCAGAGAGGACTGGTCCTTTGCTCTGGTGAGGGCTTGATGAATAAAAACCCTGTGCAACCCCCGGCCCGTCCTCCGTGTCCCCCTCAGGATGCCCACAGGCCACAGCAGGGAGCTGGAGGCAGCAGAAAGAGAACTGTGACTGGGAAAGCTGATGGGAAGCTAGAGCTCACAGAGCGTTGGAGGCCTGGCTTAAAGCCAGGAGCCAGGCCAAAATGAAACATCTGCTCATCTCCCCAGGCACCTGGCTGGGGGCGAGTGGGAGGAAGGAATGGAGAAAACTGAGGCTGAACCACAAATTAGCACCCTGTACCTTGGCCCTGAAATGGCCTCTGCTGGCATAGGAGGAGGTGAGACTAAAAATAAATAAATAAAAGTGACACTTCAAGGAGGGATGGTGACAGACCCATTGAAGCACCCTTCGTCCTGGCTTGAGCAGGGATGAGCCAAGGCATGATGGTTTTAAAAACCCTGGTCTGAGGCCAGTGGCATCGAAATGCAAACAGCTGAAGGGGGAGTGTGGGGGAGGGGCCCCTTGTTGGAAGGATTACAGTGGGGATTCTGGCTGAGTACAGTGGGCTCACCGGGTGACCCCCAATTTTTTTATTTTTGCATAACCACCATAGACCTAGAACTAGGAAGTCCAGGCTGCCCTCTGCTGGTGACTTCCGGGAATGACCACAACACAGTGGTACCCGACCTGTGACCTAAAAGGATCAGGAGAGAACCATTCCCCAGGGACAACCAGGAGTGGCTGCACCTCGGGCCAGTCTCCCAGCGGGAGGCTGGGAGCATCTCCATCAACTTGAGCAGGCTCCTCCGTCTCTGCCTGGCCTGCAGAGGGGCCTGGGACACGGACGGCCCCTGGTGCTCACTTCAAAGGCATCGAGAAGAACTTGTTCCCAGACTTGCAGCGGACCTGCCCGGCGAGCACGCGCAGCAGGATCTCGGAGTCTTCAAACTCATCCACAATCGCCTTAAAGCAGGAGCCGGGAGAGGAGAGTCACTTGAAGGGGAATCAGGGACCCAGAGGGCACTGCAAACAACCCCGCCTACTGGGACCCTTCAGAGGTGAGGCAGTGCTGAGGGGAGACCGAGGGCCAGGCAGGCTCCAGGCTCTGCGCTTATTCTCTTGGCCGATCAGCCCTGCAGTCTCGGGAGGTCGGGCCTATCATCCCCACTTTGCAGAGGAGGAAACGGACGCTCAGAGCCCTGGATTACAGAATCCAACCAAACCAGGACTGGGACCTGGGGCTGCTGGAGCCCGAAGCCAGAGCTCTTTGTGGCCTCCAGTGTGGTTAGGCTGAAGCAGAGGTGGCTATTTGATGAGGGCCCTGGGCTGTATCCTGTCTGCACATGTTTTGTTTGGCTTGCAAAATGTGTTTTTTAAAAAAATACATATTAGCTGCAAACCTTTGAAAATAGGGAGATTGCACATAAAAATCCAGATTTCTGGCTTCTCTTGAAAACAGAAGTGCTAGCAACACTAGGTCCACATTCCTGCACGGCAACACTCCCCACTGTCTCCTCCCCCTAACCACGCTGGAGGCAGCAAAGAGCTCTGGCTTCGGGCTCCTGCAGCCCCAGGTCCCAGTCCTGGTTTTGTTGGATTCTGTAATCCAGGGCTCTGAGCATCCATTTCCTCATTTTCAAAGTGGGGCTGATAGGTCCGACCTCCCAGGATTGCAGGGCTGATCGGTGCTCAGAGGTGGAGCATCAGCTCCTCGGAGGGCACTGGGGAAAGGGAAATATATCACCTCCCTCTCAAATACAAGCAAGGCCACGAGGGTGGATGTTCTTTACACCTGGCACATTTCACTCATTTCCAACATCTGCCAGGCCCCTGTGGCACCCACGCCTTTGCCCTCTGGGCGAGGGGCCAGGACTTCAGGGGAGGCCTGCAGCATCCTCCAGATCAGTGTTCTAGGGCAGTGCTTCTCAAATTTTAACAGTGACACAAAGCCCTAGATATCTTGCTAAAATGCAATTCTGGTTTCTTAGGTGTGAGTGTGGCCCAAGAGTCTGTGTTGCTGATAAGCTTCCAGGTGATGCTGACGCTGCTGGTCCAGGACTGCACTCTGAGTAGCGAGGTAAGGTGTTTGGGTCTCATGCCATGTCTGTGATTTCCCAGGCATTCAGGTTTGCATGCCTGATCCTCAGGGCCAATCGGCTCCCTCGCCCTCCCCACCCTCTAGCCCATCACTTCTGGAGGTCAGCACCCTCTGTGCTCCCGCCCTGGGAATTCACCTGTAGCTCCCGCAGGCACTGCCCGTCCAGCTGGAGTCGTGCGTTGCCCACACACCAGGCCAGGCTGATGTGGAATGAAGGGTCCTGTGGGGGAACAGCAGGGAGGCAGGCGGTCACCTGGAGGTCAAGGCAGGTCCAGACATCGCGGCAGGTCTGTGACGGAGCTGTCACGGTATCCCAGGGGACCCCTGGCCTGCCCCCTGGGAGACCAGACCCTCAGTGTTGATCCCAAGCACCCTCCACAGATAGATCAAACAGCCCTGGGGTGGTCCTGGCTATGGACTGAATTGTGTCCCCCCACAAATTCATATGTTGAAGCCTTAACCCCCACTGTGATGGTATTGGAGATGGCGCCTTTGGGAGATAATTAGGTTCGGATGAGGTTACAAAGGTGGGGCCCTCACGATGGGATTCGTGCCCCTATGGGAGACAGCGAGAGCTTGCTTCCTGTTCCCACCATGTGAGGATAGGGAGAAGACGGCTGTCACGAGCCGGGAAGAGAGTCCTCCCCACTCTGCCTGAGGGCACCTTGATCTTGGACTTCTAGGCTCCAGAACTGTGAGAAAATAAACTTCTGTTGCGTAAGCCACCCAGTCTGTGGTATTTTGTACGCAGCCTGAGCTGACTAAGACACTCCTGTTCTCAGAGGCTCTTCTTTACATATCACAGAGTCATTAAATCTGGGACGTGGAAGAGAACCCAGCTCCAATTCTATTTTCTGATCTAACACATTTCAATAGATGACAGACTTTTGAGGATGAAATGAACAAAACCCAAAATGTCTAAAATTATGAAGAAATAGTAATTATCTCTATTCAAATTCATACTTATATACCTCAGCATGATTTTAAAAGAATATATCAAAACCAATGGCCCTTTAAAGGCTTGATACTCAGCTGGGAGTTCAAGTCCCCCTGGAGGGCAAGGGGCAAGGCACAGGAAGGTATGTGAAGCTACAACTCCTCCTGCAGTGTTTTTAATTTTTTACTAAAAAACATTTGGGAAAATGACTTCTTAAAAAATATAAAAATAAACGTGGATACGTTATGGAATAGAAGGCATAAATCTCGTGCATATTTAAGATATAACAAAAGATTTCTAAGAAATCTTGGCCTTTGGGTGGGCCACATCTGACCACACCCCAGAGCCCTCATCTCTGAGGGGTGTGTGTCCTCGGCAGGCTGGCATTCAGGACACTTCACATGGGAAAGTTCTGGAGGGCTCTTCAGTTTCCTCTCACGAGGGCTTCTTGAAGGCTGGTTTTATTCCAGTTATAGATGGGCCCATGCAGAAGAAAAAGCCCTGATCATTACCTGGTAGAAAGTGGTGAGGTCAAATTCCTCCATGACTCTGTCTACCTCTGAAACCAGGTCCAGGAACTGGGCGTGCCCGGAGGTGACCTCGAGCCCAATGAACGTCCTGCGGGGAGGCAGAAGTGGAGACAACACGGTGTGAGACGCAGCCTCTGAGAACATAAGCCACCCGCGCTGGGGCAGAGGATGGACAGACAGAAAGCCCAGAGGTCTGGGCCATGGGTTCCTTCCCTGTCTCTGGGACAGTTCACTTTCCTGCTCTCTGAAATTTATTATCTGTCTCCCCTGCAGAATGCTCTTTCAATCCTCCCTCCTCTGTCTGTAAACCTTCCTTCCCCAAGTCTAACCCCACGTCTCTCCTCCCTCCCAGGATCTGACAACCCTTGAGGGAACGCCTACATCTGCCACTGCCAAGTCTACAGACCCCAAAGCCTCTGCATCCGTGCTCTCCATCATTGCTCCCGAGTCTCGACCCTTTCTCGAGGACTTCACTCTCTGGCACCAGCTCCCTTCCCATCAGCACTCAGACATGCTCTCTCATCTTTAAAACCCTCCCTTAAACCCACATCTTCAGCCAACCCCATCTCATTCTCAGTAAAACTTCTTTTCAGGTGATGTGTCTACCTTCACTGTCTCTAAACCTCTCCTCTCATCTTCAACCCACTTCGCCGGGAACTGCTCTCGTAAAGCGGCCAACGACCTCCGTGTTATCGCATCTGGTGGACACTTCTTTGTCCTCATCATGGCCACTCAGCAGTACCTGACACCACTCACTCCTCCCTCCTGGAAACCTTTGTCTCTCTTGGCTTCCACACACTACACAGTCCTGGTTTGATCCCACCTCTGGTTCCTTGTTTCTCCTCTGCCGCCCTTTCTTTCCGACCTCTAAATGCCCACAGGCTGCAGGGCTCAATCCTCAGCCCTCTCACAGGCTCCATCTGCACTCTCCAGTGGGCTGATCTCACCCAGCCCTGCTTTAAATATCACACAGGCCGATGGCTCCCAAATTTCTATCTCCAGCTGGCCCCTCTCCTGTATACCCAATTGCGTACGTGACATCTCCACCTGGCGGTCTCACAGGCAGCAAAGCCTAACAGGTACAAAGGACAACTTTTGATTTTCATCCCACTGGTGCTTCCCATCACAGAAAATGGGGTCATTATTTACCCCAAACCCAGGAATCTACTTTGATTCTTCCCCTTCACACAGATTCAACCCACTGGTAATTCCAGTTTATTCTACCTCCAGTATATTACGAATGTGTCCACTTTTTGGCTCTTCCACTGCCATCGCCCTAATTCAGGCCACCACTGGTCCCTCACCTGGCGGCACCTGCCTCCTCTCTGCTCTCCCTGCGTCCACCTTTGCTCTCTTACCACTCGCCTCCACTCAGTAGCCACAGACGCAGACGCGATCTAGCCAGACTGACATCTACAAACATAAATGAGATCATGTCTCTCCTCTGTTCACATCCCCCAATGGCTTCCATTACACTGAAAATCCAAACTCCTTCCCTTGACCTTGAAGGGCCCTGCATGAGCTAACCCTGCCCAGCTCATCTCCTGTTGCTCTCCCACGTGCTCCCCGGGTTCCACTTCACTGGCCTCCTCAAACACGCCAAGCTCCTTCCTGCCTCCGAGTTACTTGGTTTGCTGTATCCTCTACTTGAGGCTCTTGCCAGCACCTGTTCCCAAGGCTGGTTCCTTCCCATCCTCAAGTTGCCAGCAAATGTCACCTCCCTGGTGCCCTCCTTGGCCGTCCGCTCCTGACTGTCTATTGTATCACACCATAGTTACTAACGATCTCGTTTACTTTATTATCTGTCTCCCCTACAGGATGTAAGATCCCTGAGAGCAGGGACTGTGCGGACGTTTTCCTGCTGAATCTGCAGTACACAGCAAGTGCCTGGCTCGAGCAAGCGCTTAATAAATCTGTGCAGCATAGAATGAGTGAATGAATGAGTGAGCCCTCCTTTCAGAGGTGCTAAGAGAAGGCAGCCCAGTGAGTGGATCACACAGAAAGGCTCACTTCGAAGCCTTGATAATAACAATTTCTTCAATACTTTAATACTTATCAAAACCTGTTTGGCTCAGTTGAGCCCCACAACTGCCCAGTTGTGGATGTATCAAGGGTAAGCATGTGACGGCGTGGAAACGGAAGGTCACGGAGGTGAAGAGATGAGCTAAACCTTAAGTTGGGGACAGAGCTGGGTAGGAACCCGGGTTTTCGTTCCATCTCAGGCTTCTCTCTCTATACCACGATGTTTTTCTCTACTTTGCCCCTCCCCCCACGCTCCCCTAGTTATTTTTCTTAATGAAAGGTTCACATTTGGGAACAGCTGCCTTTGTAGTCATAGAGTTGGTTAAAACACAAACAAACAAAAACCTGGGACAGACAATCTTTAGTCCAAAGAATCTTCTGGAAGTGACTGGGGGCAGAGGCGGGAGACTCACCTGGTTTTCTCTTGATTGGTATAAATCTTTACCCGGTTGGCAGTAAAGCAGAATCTGAAATTCAGAAGAAGAGAGACCACATTTCAGGAAGAATAATAAGAAAAAAATCAGAAAAAATAGTTTATATTAAAAAATAGTAGTTTGAAAATATAGTTAACTCATTTCACACTTAGTATTGTCATCCTATTATACAGGTGGTAAGCTGAACTCTAAAATGTTAGAGCTGGACAAGACCTTAAATAATCACCCAGTCCAACTAATAGAAAGCATCATTCAGATGCTACCAAAAATTTTAGTTTATTAATAGCAGTTCATTCAAATAAACAATTTGAGACTATCTCCCTTTACTGATGGGAACTGAGAAAGTCTTATTCATCAAGTTGGTGATAATAGATCATTAAAGGGCCAATTTGTTCCTTGCAGGTTTAAAAAAGACAATTCTGGGGGCTGGCCCCATGGCGTAGTGGGTAAGTTCGGTGCGCTCCGCTCCAGTCACCCAGGTTCGGATCCCAGGCATGGACTTACACCACTCGTCAGCCATGCTATGGCAGTGATCCGCATACAAAAAAGAGGAAGCCTGGCAACAGATGTTAGCTCAGGGCGAATCTTCCTCAGCAGGAGAAAGAAAAAAAAGACAATTCCCATCTAGTCTGAGCCATAACAAGGACATTTCCCATGTGCCAGGAGCTGAGCTGAGGGCTTCGTGCACATCATCTCTGTGAGCAGGCAAGATAATTACGCCCATTTTACAGACAAGGAAACTGAAGCTTGGCGACATTGAATTTGGTGAACCCCAATTTGAACTCCAGCCTGCTGATTCCAAAGCCGTTGCTCTCACCTATGATGCTTTAATGAGGGGAAGTGGGTCTCTGGGCAGAAACACCCAGCCACCCACCACTCAGGTCCGTTCCACAGGGACCATCAGGTTCAGCCAGGTAAGTGAGGGCTATTATGGTGGGAAAGGCCAAGTGGAAGTCATCAGCACTGCCTTTAACTAGGAAAATAGTAAACCGAAAGCCATCCCGCGCCCCTGGAGGGACTGCAGAGATGAGCGCCACCACGAAGGACTCGAAAGACGCAGGGGTGGCGATGCCCGCATCTCTGTTCAGCTCTCCTCCGAGGCCTGTGTGGCAGGCAGGTGGGTCCTGGAGAACGACGGTGGATCGCCATCAACCTAAGCAGGTGGCGACTCCCACTGCAGCTGCTGTTCCAGATGTGCTGCCGCTGCTTGAGCAACACAGCACACCCCCTGGACCCAGCACGCGGCTCCGCTCGCAAATGCTCTTCTTGATAACTGTTAGCAGAGAGCACCAGAGCAGTTGCTTTCAGCCGGCAAGGCCAGCAGTACACCTCACTGCCGTACCTCAGGGGTGGATCATCTCTCCAGCCCTATGTCATAATTATTTTGCAGGGTTTGGTCACCTTTCATTTCCACAAGATATCACACTGGTCCATTACATTGATGACATTATGCTGACTGGACTTAGTGACCAGGAAGTAGTAACTACTCTAGACTTACTGGTGAGACATTTGCATGCCAGAGGGTGGGAAATAAATCCAACAAAAATTCAGGGGCCTTCCACCTCAGTGAAATTTCTAGAGGTGCACTGGTTTGGGGCGTGTCAAGATATCCCTTTTCTAAGGTGAAGGATAAGTTATTGCATCTGGCCCCTCCCACAACCAAAAAAGAGGCATATCACCTAGTGGGCCTCTTTGGATTGTGGAGGCAACATCTTCCTCATCTGGGTGTGTCTGTTACTCGGGCCCGTTTACTGAGTGACCTGAAAAGCTGCCAGTTTTCAGTGGGGCCCAGAACAAGAGAAGGCTCTGCAACAACAGGTCCGGGCTGCTGTGAAGCTGCTCTGACACGTGGGCCACATGATCCAGCAGGTCCCATGCTTGACGTGGCAGATGGGGATGCTGTCTGGAGCCTCTGGCAGGCCCCTGTGGGTGAATCGTAGTGCAGACCCTTAGGATTCTGAAGGAAGGCCCTGCAACATCCACAGAGAACTACTCTCCTTTTGAGAAACAGCTCTTGGCCTGCTACTGGGCCATAGTAGGGACTGAATGCTTGACCATGGGCCACCAAGATACCATGCGCCCTCAGCTGCCCATCAGGAACCGTGTTGTCTCACCCACCAAGTCATAATTGGGCATTGCAGAGCAGCACTCCGTCACCAGGTGGAAGTGGTGTATACAATCAGGCCTGGGCAGGCCCTGAAGGTACAAATGAGTTACGTGAAAAGTGGCCCAAGTGCCCATGGTCCCCACTCCTACTACACTGCCTTCTCTCTCCCAGCCTGCACCTGTGGCCTCATGGGGAGTTCCCTACAATTGACAGAGGAAGAGAAAACTCGGGCCTGGCTGACAGACGGTTCTGCACAATGTACAGGCACCACCCGAAAGTGGACAGCTGCAGCACCACAGCCCCTCTCGGGGACGGCCCTGAGGGACAGCAGTGAAGGGAAATCCTCCCAGTGGGCAGAACTTTGGGCAGTGCATCTGGTTGTTCACTCAGCTTGGAAGGAGAAATGGCCAGACGTGTAATTATATACTGACTCAGGGCTGTGGCCAGTGGTTTAGCTGGATGGCCAGGGACTTGGAAAGAATATGATTAGAAAGTTGGTGACAAAGAAATTTGGGGAAGAGATATGTGGATAGACCTCTTGGAACTGGCAAAAACATGAGGATATTCGTGTCCTGTGTCAATGTTCACCAAAGGGTGACCTCAGCAGAGGAGGATTTTAATAATCAAGTGGATAGGGTGACCCAGTCTGTGGACACCAGTCATCCTCCTTCCCCAGCCACCCGTCATTGCCCAGGGGGCTCATGAACAAAGTGGCCACGGGGACAGGGATGGAGGTTGTATCTGGGCTCAGCAACATGGATTTCCACTCACCAAGGCTAACCTGGCTATAGCCACCACTGAGTGCCCAATCTGCTGGCAACAGGAACCAACACTGAGCTCCTGATATGGCACAACTCCCCGGGGTGACCAGCCAGCTCCCCGGTGGCAGGTTGATAACATTAAACTGCTTCCATCATGGAAGGGGCGGTGTTTTGTCCTTAGTGGAAGAGACATACTCTGGATACGGATTTGCCTTCCCTGCATGCAATGCTTCTACCCAAACTACCATCCATGGACTTACAGAATGCCTTATCCACCATCATGGTATTCCACACAGCATTGCTTCTGATCAAGGAACTCACTTCACAGCAAAAGAAGTGCAGCAATGGGCCCACGCTCATGGGATTCTCTGGTCTTACCATGTTCCCCACCATCCTGAAGCAGCTGGCTTCAGAGAACAGTGAAATAGCCTTCCGAAGACTCAGTTACAGTGCCAGCCAGGTAGCAGTACCTTGCAGGCTGAGGCAACATTCTCCAGAAGGCTGTCTATGCTCTGAATCAGCACCCAACATATGGTGCTGTTTCCCCCATAGCCAGGATTCATGGATCCAGGAATCAAGGGGTGGAAATGGGAGGGGCACCACTCACTATTACCTTAGTGACCCACTAGCGAAATTTTTGCTTCCATAAAGTTTGTTCCCAAACTTTATGCTCTGGTGGCCTAGAGGTCTTAGCTGCAAAGGGAGGAATGCTTCCACCAGGAGACATAATGATCCCATTGAATGGGAAGTTAAGACTGCCAGCTGGCCACTTGGGGCTCCTCATGCCTTTGTTTTTTTTTGTTTTTTTTTTTTTTTTAAGATTTTATTTATTTTATTTTTTCCCCCCAAAGCCCCAGTAGATAGTTGTATGTCATAGCTGCACATCCTTCCAGTTGCTGTATGTGGGACTCGGCCTCAGGATGGACGGAGAAGTGGTGCCTCGATGCACACCCGGGATCCGAACCCGGGCCACCAGCATCGCAGCGCGCGCACTTAACCACCAAGCCACAGGGCCGGCCCTCCTCATGCCTTTGACTCAATAGAAAGGGAATTATGGTGTTGGCTGGGGTGACCGATCCTGACTACCAACGGGAAACCCGACTACTGCTCCACAATGGAGGTAAGGAAGACATGTCTGGAAAACAGGAGCTCCCTTAGGGCGTCTCAGAGTGTTACCATGCCCTGCGATTAAGGTCAATGGAAAACTACAACCACCCCATCCAGGCAGGATAAGTAACGGGCCAGATCCTTTAGGAATGAAGGTTTGGGTCACTCCTCCAGGTAAAGAACCACAACCAGCTGACGTACCTGCTGAAGGCAAAGGGAATACAGACTAGGTAGTAAAAGGTAGTTATAAATACCAGCTGCGACCATGTGACCAGTTACAGAAACAAAGACTGTAACTGTCATGAGTATTTCCTCCTTATTTTATTATGAATACGTTTGTGTGTACATATAGATCTATTATGTTTTCTTTCTTCTCTTATTCCCCATGTAATATAAGATGTACTGACTTTGCATCAGTATTTAAGTATTGTTTATTTTATATCATAATATTCAAGTTATGGGATATCAGGAGAAAAGTAGGCATCACTTAAGAACTTTCCCTCCTTTTCCAGGGAAGGGATTAGCGTATTTTCAGATGCATACAGGACAGTTGTATCATGTCAGGCAGAATTATGACCTTGTTACCATCTTAACCTGGAGACTAAGTCTGGTTTAAGGAGATGCATACAGGTATCAAGGCGACAAGGGGTGGACTTGTGATGGGTAATTTTATGTGTCAACTGGACTGGGCTAAGGGATGCCCAAATAGCTGGTAAAACATTATCTCCAGGTGTGTCTGTGAGGTGTTTGCAGAAAGATCAGCATTTGAATTGGTGAACTGAGTAAAGCAAATGGCCCTCCCCACTGTGGGTGGGCATCTTCCAATCCACTGAGGGCCTGAATAGAATAAAAAGGCAGAGGAAGGGCAAAATCACTCTCTCTCTGCTTGAACTGAGACATCCATCTTCTCCTGTCCTCCAACATTGCCACTCCTGGTTCTCAGGCTTCCAGGCTCATATCAGGACTTACACCATCAGCCCCCCGATTTTCAGGACTTTGGAATCAGACTGAATTACACCACCAGCTTTCCTGGTTCTCCAGCTCGCAGACGGCAGATAGTGGACTTCTCAGCCTCTGTAGGTTGCGTGAGCCAATTCCTAAAATAAACCTCCTCTTATATATATCCATAGATATCTTACTGGTTTGTTTCTCTGGAGAGCCCTAATACACCAACCAACACCCCTTCTCCTGGTAACCTCGTATTGGAAGATTGCTCTCCCACTCTGTGCTAGTGGAGTGGTCTCCACCCCCCTGCTCCAAGGGTGCATACCTGACCCAGGCCTGGTCAATCAGGGCATGGCATGCCCTCAGTCGTAGCAACAGAATCAAAGGTGCACTGCCCACTCTTGGTCATCTCAGGCTCAACCAGACAAACTTGAAGAGGTCACGTGGCCCGGCTTCATTCAGGACACGGGCTAGGAAACACCGTGCACCAGAAGGGCAGCATCAAGGGTCCCAACCCAGCTCCAGGTGCTGTTCTCTGGTCCCTAAGTAAGCAAGAGAACAAGCTACATCCATGACCCCCAGGGACCAACATCTCTTGTCATGGCCCTTGGGCAAAGTTTCCAGAGTTCCCAGCCAGGGACTCGCCCAGTTAAAGGACCACTGCATGCAGGGAAGCCCAGAGCCGAGCTTCCCACCAGGGGCTTAGTTCACTCACGGTCTTCCCAGCCCAGATGCAGTGTGCCAGTAAGTCATTTTCACCATAAGTGATGTGGCCCGTGAACACAGCTTTATCCAGGGAACAGACTAGAAGCAGGATAACTGAAGCATTCTCATGTAGAAGGGGAAAGGGTTTTGTTAACTCTGCTCACAAAGGGAGAGCATGTTAGCCAAGTCAGACCAATCAAAGTCATTCCCGTGACTTTTACTGAAGCTCTTAGAAGAGAAGGCTCTCTTTCCAGGCTGGTAGACCAGCAGCCTGGAGAGGCTGGGGGCCTCCTTTGCCTTCGTGAGAATGAAGCCAACACAGAGAGGGGCAGAGCCGAGAGATGGTGAGTCAGGTGCCATCCGACATCTGCTCACCCCAATCCACTCACGCACGAAGCCAGTGCCACCTCTGAACTTTTTAGTTACACCAGCCTGTAAGTCCCCCTCAGTTTAAAGGACTTGGGGTTGGATTTCTGGCACCTGAGATCAAGAGAATTCTGACTAATACACATATGGCTCAATAAATTTGGTAATGACAATGAAAAGCAGGGGCGAGGGCTGGATTAGGTGGAGAGATGAGTTTTAGTTCTGATTCTCTGGCTAACTAGCTGAATTGGAGCAAATCCTTTCTCCTCCGGCTGTCAGAGGGGGTTAGACTAAATTGGCAGTTCTCCAACGGGACAGAGTAGCTCCATGGACTTCCTCCTAAGGCCTCCCGAACTGCGGCCTTCAGCTAGAAGATTTTTGTTTTTCTCTCTCTTACATGTCTACACGTCTGGGCTTTCGTGTACACTTCATCTAAAGAAAGGGCTTTGCAGAGAAAACCAGGGTGAGAAAACCACCATGTCGATGGCTTCTGAGGCTCCTTCTAGAACGAACATTCAGAAGATACAGAAGATGATTTCTGGGCTCCCTCTTGCCTGCTCAGTCATTCAGCAAACACGCATTTGATGCCTACAGTGAGGAAAGCACCTCGAGAAAAGATGTGTGGTGATTCAGAGAAGCGCATTCCTGGGCCTGAACTGGGCTCCAGAGGGGAAGATGGACACGGGAATGACCGGATATGAGGATGAGTGAAATGAGCTCTAGGGGTGTAAACAACCACAGGACCAGACGATCCCCGGGACTGAGGGATTCTGGGGGAGCCCATTGGAAGAGCCTCAATGAAAGAGCGGGGCTTTGATCTGGCCAAGTCTAGGAGGAAAGGCATTTCTGGTAGGAAGAAGAGGAATGAAAATAGTTAAAGAAAGAAAGCCCTAGACTGGTAGACAAGACCAGAAGCCGGGTCCAGTCCTGACCCTTCGCCACGTGCCACGCTGAGGGCACACATGACCTCATCTCACTCACGAGTCCCTCTGAGGCAGCCACCCCCACTCCCATGACTTACACACCAGACAAGGCCTCGGGAGCCTCCTGAGCTTGTGTGGCCCAAGGTCACACAGGATGTGCAGCAGGCAGCCCTGGAAGTTCAGTGTTCTTTTTTTTTTTTTTAATCATTTTATTTATTTATTTTTTTGTGTGAGGAAGATCAGCCCTGAGCTAACATCCATGCCAATCCTCCTCTTTTTGCTGAGGAAGATTGGCCCTGGGCTAACATCTGTGCCCATCTTCCTCCACTTTATATGGGACGCCGCCACAGCATGGCCTGACGAGCAGTGCATTGGTGCGCACCCAGGAACCCATGCCACCAGCAGCAGAGCGTGCGCACTTAACCGCTACGCCACGGGGCCGGCCCCAGAAGTTCAGTGTTCTAACCTTCAGGTTTGGCCTGCTTGCTGGGGTAACACACCCCACACTTATATCTCCACAGTAGCTCAGGACAGGAAGAGGAGCCTTGGAGGGGAGGGAGACGCGGGGCAGCAGGAAGCACTCGGCACTCACCTCGGGAAGGAGGCCAGGCGGTCTTTCAGAGCCTGCACGAAGGGGAGGATCCAGTGATGACGCAGAACCACGCTCTGGGACAGGCTGAGGTGGAACGCCTCCATCCTCACCAGCCGGGGGACGTATGTCTGGGCGTGGGGCAGCAACGCGTCAAGGAGTTCCAGGAAGTCCTCCTTGGCTTCATCTGGAGGGGGAGAGTGGAGAGGGTGGCTGTTCCCTTAGCCAGGGTGGCATGGCTGAATGGAGAAGCCGAGAAGGCAGAGGCCTTTTTTACTCTGGGTTTTAGGAGAAAATTACTTCCACAGCAGCCTATGTCTATATATTGTAGTAATATTTTAATATGTATTTCTGGTTACAGAAGTAACACCCACATGCTCATTGGAAAGAATCCAAGCAAAAAGGAAATGCAAAGGAGAAAGCAGGGGCCCCTGAAATCCTACCACCTAGAACAGTGGTCTCCAAACTATTTTGATCACAGGGGCCATTAGTAAAAGGAGCTTGCACACATACCTGCAATACTTGTGTATTTATTTATAAATACAAACGTGTGCTACTTTGTAAAATTATGTGTGTTATACAATGTACACTCTCAAGAATGGAAATTTAAAAAGACGAGATAAAAAGAAATACACAAAAAAGTTCTAATACTTTTCTTCCTAATGGATCATCCTGACCTCTTCCCCGGGGTGCATACACCCCACCTGCAAGACTACTACCCTAGAGATAAAGCCTGTCAAAAAGCCTTTTCCCAGTGCATGTACTAATGAACATATTTTATTTGTTAAAAAAGATGAGAGCATATCATTGAAACTGTTCTTCCACTGGCTTTCTTCATCTAACACTACGTGTTGCACACCCTTCCTCTCAGTACAGAGGTCGAGCTCGTGATCACCGCTCCACAGTAATCCACAATCAGAAACAGCGCCTTTCTTTAATCAGTCTCCTAGGAGACATTTAGAATCTCCTGATAGACATTTAGAATGCTCCTAATTTTTCACAAAGACAAAGAACACTACAATGCCAACCATCGTATGTTCACATATTATTTATTTTTTAATCAAACATGTGACTAGAGCTGCAGGGTTAACAGTCTGCTCACACCCAGTGTGTTACTCAGTTTGTCCAAAAGTCCTGGTAAACAGGCAGTATAGAGAACCATTCCCATTCTGTGGATGGGGATATGGAGGTCCCAAGAGTTTACTTGATCTAACACAAACTAATAAGAGCCACCACTTACTCTGTGTATTGTGCTAAGAACTTGACACAGATTAGCTGATTTAATCTTCACAAAAGTACTAGGAGATAGGTATCACTATTGTCCCCATTTTCGAGATGAGGAAACTGAGGGTCTGAGCAGTCCAGTAACTTAATAAGGGGCACCCAGAGTAGTGGGTAGTGGAGCGAGGTCTGACGCTGAAGCCTGGACATTTCCTGCCTGCTACTCACTCATTAGGGCCAGGGTGGGGCTGGAACCCTGCTAGGGCCCTCTTAGAAATGAAGTGCCAGCTGCAGCTGCACTCTGGGATGGCCCTGACGCTGCCCGACACCCTCCCTTAGTCACCTCCTCACGAGCAGGGAGAACATTATACTCAGAGTTAATAAAAAATATTCTAGGCAGGGGGCCGGCCGGGTGGCATAGTGGTTAAGTTCACACGCTCTGCTTCAGCGGCCTGGGGTTCGTGGGTTTGGATCCCGGGTGCGGACCTACACACTGCTTATCAAGCCATGCTGTGGCAGGCGTCCCACATATAAAGTAGAGGAAGATGGGCACAGATGTCAGCCCAGAGCCAATCTTCCTCAGCAAAAAGAGGAGGATTGGCAATGGATGTTAGCTCTGAGCCAGTCTTCCTCACCAACATAAATAAATAAATAAATAAAATATATTTCAGGCAATGAATTTAAACTGAAACCAAGTTTACAGAAAAATTTCCCAATTCTTGAAACTCTTTCTCCCTCTGCTGAGTCCATCTCTTTCCCACCACCAATGTCAGAGGTCTCTGGCTTCTTCCCCCTGGTTGGGGCCAGCTGCCTCCCACCAAAAGGCACCTATCAGTCTCAGCCACAGGCCTTTCACACGTTACTCACACGGGACGTAGACATGGGTGGCCCAGTTGCCCCGCTCGTGGGGGAAGGTGCGCACGCGGCCCCCATGTTTTGCGCTGTCATCCTCAGGCCCCTCCTCGGTGCCCGGGAACATGTGCAGCACACTGTCTGGGACTGGCAACCTCTGGCTGGGAAGGGGGCTCTGTCCACTGCAAGACAAAAAAAGAAAGAGAGCACATTTATCCTGCTAGCGTTCTCCACCTCTGTACATACAAGGAAAGTTGTAAACCCCTTATACACGTGACTCTGTGTCTATTTCTCACCAGGTGCAGTAAGCAGCTTCTAGATAACCACAAAGCTCTGTCCCCAGTATTGTCTCACTGGGGTCTCCCAACGACTCCAGGACGCAGACTTTGCAGGGAGTGTGGTCCTCACGGGAACCAACTGGGCAGGCAGCAATGTGTGGTTCAGAGGTGAATTCCCTAACTGGACTGGAGCAGCACTTCCTAGCTCTGCGGTCTTGGGCAGGTCATGTGCCCCTTCTGGACCTCAGTTCCCTCCTCTGTAAGGTGGACTCTACCTGACAGTGAGGAAACAGACCCTGGGTGGTACAGCGGTGCGCGCCAGGAGATGGAGTGGGCCAGCGGCGGAGACGGAACCCCAACCCACGTTTCCTGCCTCCTAACCTCGGCCTAGCCAGGTGGGGGCACTCTGTGGCTCTGTCCGGGGCTGTCCTCCGATCCTCCTTTCTCCCTGTGCCCCTTTTCCTTTCCTCGCGAGCCGCCCTGCACCCCCCCACCCCACCGCGACCCTCGGGTCCCCTCGGGGTCTCGCGTGAACCCGTCCCCTCCCCAGAAAGCCTTCCTCGCTCCTCACCGATGGCGGCCTCCAGCCCCCGGCCGGGCCCGGGCCTCGGCCTCGGCCTCATCCTCCGAGCCGCTGCTGCTGTAGCCCACCAGGGGCGCCGCACTCATGGGGCCTCCTCCACCACAGCAGGACCGGTCAGCCGGCTACCGCACCGCGCCCGGAATTCCGCGGAGCCGGAAGTGCCCTCCCGGGGGCGGGGCCCGGGCTAGCCCCGCCCCGGGGCGGGGCCTGGAGGCGGGGCCCGGCAGGACCTTAGAAAAGGCTCTACCCACCCGGACCACGCTGCCTGCTTGCTCGCTGCGCTTCGACCGCTAAGTGTAGTCTCCTGGAAACCCCCAGCCTCGTGTGCCCATTGCACAGATCGCTCTGCGCCCTCACCTCTCTGTCCGCGGCTCTGTCTGCAGCCACCCGGGACCAGACCTCCCAGCCACGGACAGTCCCTGAGTCAGCGGTCAGCGCACTAGACCCAGCGGAGATCCCTGTCCTCGCGGACGGGATCAGAAGTCCCGGAGGCCCCTGCTCAAGCTGGTCCAAAGTCTGACTCCGGGGGCCCCTCCCCTAAGAGCAAACTGAGGAGTCAGAGGCGGGTCAGTGCCAGAAGATCAGAGGGTCTAGGGGGCCCCTCCTCTCAGGTGCAGGGGTCAGGCCGGGGGCCAGGCCGGGAGCCCCCTCCCCTAAGGCCCAGCAGAGTAGTAGGAAGCGGAGCGCCCTCCCTGGGTCAGCGGAGGCGTGCCGGCCGGGCGACCGGAGAGCCACCCCGCGCGCCCGGCCGTCCGACCCGG